CACTGCAATTCCAGGAGCATTAAGTGAGGCACAGAGTGTTTTGCAGAGCATCCTGCAAATCTGGTTGGTCACAGGAGGCTAAACCTGATCCTGCCCAGACAACCACACAGATGGTGGAGGTCTAAATTCAGCTCTTTCTGGATTTCAGCACTCCTCCTGCTGGCTCCTCCAGATCCTGCTCTTCCCTCTCTGCTCCCTGCAGGCACTGGAAGGGCAGCAGGTTCCAGGTCAGAATGAGCCCCCTGTGACACTGTGCCATGATCCCCTGTGACACCAGCCCCCTGTGACACTGCTCAGGCCACGTCACTTGTACAGCCCTGCAAATGCTCACCCAACATTCCAGACTCTGGGACCTTCTGGGAATGTTTTCTTCCCTGGAGTACCCCTGGCTGAAAGCTGGAGTGCTGATTCATGATTTGTTTTCATCTACACCCTGTTATCTGCTGGCCAAGGGGCTGCTGGAGCATCCAAATTCCCTTCCATGCTCTGTGCTCCCACAGAATCCTCTTGCCTGCAGCCACCACCAGCTGGGCAAGAGCACAAGGCTCTGTCAGTGGGGCTGGGGGAGCACTGCTCTCTAAAAACTTCATTTCACACCCTGTGGCCAAGCCTCTGTGTTCTCTTTGGTCACCTCCACGCCCACCTGACAGAATTCTGGAATATCCTGAGTTGGAAGGGACCCACAAGGATCATCAGAGTCCAACTCCTGGCCCTGCACAGGGCACCCCAGGAATCAGCCCAGCCCCAGCAGCAGGCTCTGCCTGTCAGGGCAGCACTGAGTCTCTCCTGAACTGCTGAAACCCAGCCTGACCCATTTCCCCACTCTGCTGCAGGCTGGGCCCAGGCCTGACCCAAAACCTGGCATTTGTGGAGATCTGTGTTACTGGAGAACAAGAGAACAGCTGGGAGGTGCTGATGAAATCAAAAACCCACTTAAAGTAATAAGAACTGTCCCAGTTTGCAAACAAGATTTCTGGCTGGCTCTCTTTAGCCTGTAACAAAAGCAGGGTCATTGTTTTGGTGCAGAGATCACCTCGGTGTTTCCAACAGAAGCTACATGAAGAGCTAGACCTTCATGCACTGAAAGGACTCAGAAATGTCTCTTTTATCTTCCCATTTGGAAGCCCGGATTGCAATGGAGTCTGACAGGATTATTTTCTTTACTCCATCTCTGCTCTTTCTGGCTGGCTACTGCTATTAAACTGCTCTCATTTTGCTTCCCACCCAACCTGCTCTGCTCAGGCAGCTCAAGGGGAGACAGCAACAGCAATAAACCACAAGCTGGAGCTTGCACTGCCTCCTGATTACAAGAGACACATAAAGAGCACAAATGAAAACTAAATGTGTTTCATGCAGTCACTGATCTTTCTGCACTGTCAGAAAACACTAAACACGGGGCCCCATCAAGGACTGCTGGCTATTGGTGAAAGAAAAGTGGAATTTCGAGCAGTAACTCTGTTAACCCTTCCTACTTCACACTGCCATTCCCAGCCTCATGCCACAGTGTCCCGGAGGCCTTTGGGGGAATTCAAATTATTACCCAGAACAGAAAAAAGAAGATCCTCATCTGCTAAGAACCTCGAGCATCCCCGAAGTGATCACAATTAATGCTGTGTGTCACACGCCTGGATGTTAAATACCATGATTTGCAAATCTAAAGCATCTCCCTGTCAAACTCTCTCAACTTCAGGCTGATAAGGAAAGTGGACCCTGTGCCTTTAAGGCAACATTTTTTAGTGTTACCATCATCCAGGATTGCCTTCATTTCTTGGTAATTACGGCCAGCATCCCAGAATAGGCATTTTCCTCCTGATTATACACATATGGCAAGGCACTGCTTGCTTCCTGCCCAGCCTATTCCCTTCTGCCTTCCCAAAAGGCAGTTCTGAATTAGGGTATCCAACCACTTTGTCCTCAAGCCCACAGCAGTGTCCCAGACTGTGATTCAAGAAACACGGGCACAAATTCACTGGGACAGTTTCACATTGATCCAACAGCTCAAAGTTACCTGGCTTTGCAAGGAAAACCTGAATCCTGAGCTCTGCCAGTGGCTCTGGCTCAGGAACTGCAGCACCCAAACTGGACTTTGAGCATTCAGTTGGCTGAACCCTGAAATGGTTGATAATGGGATTTTGCCATTTCATCTGATCAAACTCCTCACTGCCTGGCACCAGGAAAGAATTCAGTGGTGATGTCAGGATGTGACCAACACTGTCTCTGCTGGCAAAACCTAAGAGACTTCTCTGTAAAGCTTGGAAATGATTTTTTGGGAAAAATGATCCCACACAAGTTGCTCAGCAGGGAGAGGTGCCTGCCATGGTGTCAGCTGCAGCCCTTGGTAATCATTCATTTTCCAACCCAGGTCTCTGTCTGAAGGTGTGGTGGTCGTGGAAATGCATTCAGGAACTAAAAACTATTTCTTACAAAGAAATCTCCATAGACTACAGTCTCCTCTCCCAAGTAAATTGGTGAAAAACTATTTTAAAGATGGTAAACTGACTAAGTTGTTTTCTGTATGTTTTCAGTATCAAAGAAGATGGAAGGAAAAATAGTCTAAATTTTTATTCTGAGGTTTTTTTCCTTATGGTTTCTACTAATAAAGTTTCTCTTTCTACCATTTAAAGTTAAGCCTGTTTTACCTTCCTCCTAATCCTTTCTCACAGCAAAAAAAAAAATCCAAATTAGTAAACCAAAATCACTACAACCTGCACAGCCAACAGCATTCCTTACACAGGGAACACTGGATGGGCCAACAGGAAAAACTCTCACCTGCAGGGTGAACCCACAGGGGAACAAGGTTCAAAAACAGGTCAGGAAGGAGAGGAGGATGTGCAGGTAACTGCAAAGATGTGGAGGAGTGAGGGATCCTGTCTGCAATATGTGTTTGCCTTCTAAAGCCACCTGGGATATCTCCCATGCCTTCATCAAACTGAAGCATCTGTGGCCTATTTAAAATAAGGAGTTAGCTCCTTATTTCTATTAAAAATCTCTCTGGGCCAACGAAGAGATAAAAATCAACTATAATAATTTTTTTTTAAGTATTTTCATAGAGATTGTGTCATGATGAGGGATGTACCATACCTATTAATTTATTACACCTGAAGAAAACCCACAAATGCAGATTTTCTGAGGATTCACTGAGATGTGCCACCCTAAGTGGTTCCAAAGCTGCTCTCAGGGCTGTGTGGATCATATTCCATCCCTCAATTTCAGAGCAGGGGGTAAGGAAGGCTGGCCCCAGGTTCCCAAAGCTCGAGGTAAATGGTGCTGATCCTTGGGACCTGCCAGGGAGCTCAAACAGCACACACTACAAACCACTCACATTTATTTTACATATGGCATGTGTGGTCCCAAAATGTGAGCTAACATTCCTCTGAATTCCAGACCTGCACACTCCTTGTGGATAAAGGAAAGTGTGATCAGGATGGCAGAGCCCAGCTGGAGCCTCATCTCCCCTCCTACCCCACCACTGGAAAGCAGCAGCTGCAGAAGCAGACACAGAGGGAGAAGCTGCAGTGGGCTCTGAGCCCACAGGGTCACCGGGGGGGCTGCCACCCTCTGCCCTGTCACCCCAGAGCAGGGTGGGCACACCCTGTGCCACCTTGGCAGATCCTGAACATGGAGCCAGACACCCCCTGGCACAATCCACAGGGTGCTTTCCATGCTGGCCCCTCTCCTGCAGCACCTCCACACCTCCCAAAATGCCTTTCCCATGCAGAAGAGGGGGGACAGTGCCACCCCAGCACTGTCTGAACTCTGACAGCAGCCTGCTGTGAACTGCTGACCACTCTCCACTCGTGCTGATGAGCATGGAAATCCCAGCCCTGATTTTCCCAGAGTTAAGGGAATCCTCAATGACCCTCTGGACCAGACCCAGGGCAAGCCAGACTGGATGCTGCCTTCTGAATTGGAAATCCAGGGTCACCATCAAAGAGGAGGAGGTCAGCATTAAGAAGGAAACCAGACTCACTGCAGCTCTCACTGCTGCTCTGGGGCTGTTCCTGCACAGGGCTGGGCGAGGAGGGAAAGGCACAGCAACAGAGAGGGGGGAAAAACAAGCACAGACATTCCAGAAGGCAGAATTTCAGTCAAGCATGACTCAGGAGAAGCAAGTGCCACCCACTGCAGTGCCCGGGCCGGGGAGGGGGCAGTGATGCTGAGCTGAGTCAGGAGCCACCCACGTCCTTCTTGCCTCTTCAGAGGGTGCCAGGCCCAGCCTGTCCTGAGCCCAGGAGCTGTGACAGGAACACAGCCCTGTGCTGTCCCAGGGACACCCCCCTGCACGGTTCTGTGTGGCTGCAGGGAGTGACAGCAAACCCTGAGCTGTCACAGCCAGGACTGAGGAGCTCTGTCCCTTCGTGTCACACGGTGACAACGAGCTGGGGTCACCTCAGTGGGACACAGGGGTGCCAGAGCTGCTGCTGGACAGATCACAGCTCACCTGATGCTTTTAACACCACGGCACACCAGCACCAGCATCCTGCACCGCCCTCCCACCTTCTCCACGGGTTCCAGGGCAGGGAGGGGCCCTGTAAAACCCAGCATGGCAGAGACAGGAGGATGAGGCTTCAAAAGCCTCTCCCCAAGTGCCAGCACAGACACCCAGCACAGCCTGGCTGCTGCTCATCACCATCTCAATGCAGCAATTGGGCTGTCAGCCCCAGTGCCAGGTTTTGTAGTTCATACAGGAATTGCAGGGCTATCTAATCCCAGATCATACACTGCAGCCAAAACCTCAAACGAGAAGGGAGGCAACGAGCCAAACCAGGGGCACATGAGATAAAAGCATGAAAAGAGCAAGCAGAGGCTGGGTTTGCTATGAACACAAAAATGCCTCTGTCACAGCGTGTTCCCCACCCCGAGCATGGGGATTGTCCTTCCTCAGGGCTCTCCTCATCCTCCTCTGCACGTGCAGCCAACAGCCCCCGTGCCCTGAAAGCCCTGAAACCCACTTTGCACGGGCAAGCCTGCCCACAGCACGCCCTTAGCTGTGTCCTTACCTTCTTGCAGAGAACCATCTGGTGATCAAAGAGGAAGAAAACTCGCTGCTGGTTCCGTCCATAAGGCTGGTAAATCCAGGACATCTCTCCCGTGTAGATCAGCTCCGAGCTGCGGTCCAAGATATCGTCCCCCTGCAGGGCACAGGGAGCCAGGCTGAGTCAACTGCTCTGGCAGCTTTGTCTTTGCACCATGGGGAGAAGCAGCAGTTTAGGAAGATTTGGGCCTTTCTGCAGCTCTCAAAGACACCCCATGTGATTTCAGCCCAGAAACTGGGATTGAGGGATAATTCTGAAGGAAGGGGATAAATGGAGGGGGTGTGGATGCTTGAGACATGGTCACTACAGCTCACACTGCAATGGGGAAAGAGCTGCCCAGGCACTGCCCCCACTCCCCTCTCCAAGCACCCCCAGACCCTTGGATCTTGCTGCAGGTGCTGGTGGCATCAGGAAAACGAAGCCCCTTCCTCCCGCCCACCCCAGAGGCACTTTGGATTCAGATTCCCTGCGTGCCCTCCCTTTCAAACAGCACCCAAAGCACTTCCCCTCCTGAAATCTCCAGCTACAAAAGCCTGGGATACACTGGGATATCAGTTCCCCATTTCTGAGGCTCAGCCCTCTGCATTGCTGCCCCTCTTCTCACCCATCCAGGCACTGCCAGTCCCTTCTCCCATAGCTCATTAGAGCTGCCCAGCTCCAAAATCCTGTCAGGACCACCGTGGCTCCTGTGGACCCCCCCGGGCTGGCCAGACCTCCCTGCTGGCTGCCAGAGTGCCCTGCCCTTCCCTGCCTCCGGCGAATGCTTGTTTTCCTCTGCTGAGTTTTTTTTTTTTTTTTTTTAAGGATTCATGAGCAGATGGTCTTGAAAACACAGCACTCTCTCTCCCACTCTCAGAGAGAACAAATGCAGTCACCCTCCACTAATTGGAATGAGCTGGACTTTTTAAAAAGTTAATTAAAATCTATTTATTAAAAAAGGGTGAATTCACCACCACCTGCCCTGTGGGCATCTCGGTGGAGCACGGTGGAAGGAGGCAGGATGGCTCCAGCTGAAAGGTAAGGAGCAGCATTCAGGAGCAAGACAGACAAGAGTTGGTTTTGTTGTGTTTTTGTTTTTTCTTTTTGGCTGTGAACTACTGCAGTTCTGGCTTTGATGCCAAGCTGGAACTGATTTCTGGGACGGGAGCATCCCAAAAATCCCAACGAACAGCTTGTCAAGGTTCAGCCAGCTCTGGGGGACACCTAGCTAGCCACACACTGCTGGTGCTGCTCACACCTGCAGGTGCCAAGGCAGCCAGGAGTCCCCACCGTCCCGATTCTGTGGTGAGGATTTCAAAGTGCTGCTCAGGTAAATGTGTAATTAACCTCTCAGCACTGATTGGGAGCGAGCTCCTGTGTCCCCAGGCCCTGTGACAACAGCAGCTTCATTAAGTCACTGCATCACCAAGCTGCAGCACAGACTCCCAAATCACCTTAGCCAGGGCTTTATCCACGTCCCTGCCTCACTCCTGTGCCTGTGCAGGCCCAGGGGCTGATGAGGGATGAGTCCCCAGGGTCAGTGGCCACCGTGACCACCCAGCAGGGTCACGTCAGCCTGGCCAGAGCCTGGGACCAAGTGATGCTGCCACAGCTCAGGGGGACACGAGCCCCAAAAGAAGAAGAAGCCTCTGAAGAAAAAACAGAGCAGCTCCAGGAATTGTGAGCTTTCCTGGCTACACATGAGCCTCCATGAAGAATATTCCCACAAGCCAATGGATGGGAGCTTTAGGAGAGGGGGCGAGCTTAGGAGAGACTGGCTGCTAAAAATAGAAAGGCAGCTTTGTCTTTTACTCCTGTGGTAGCATCTGAAGCCTGAGGACACACAGAGGGCTCTGTAAACACTTCTACTTGATTAGCTGAATCCAAACTGTGGAGTCCCTGCAAGCAACATAACCCAAAAACACCCAGATCCGAAATGATGGGGTTGGTATTGCATTTCTTATGTGGGGAAAACAATTTCTGTATCCAGTCTGTAGGATAGAAATAGCTCATTTCCCACTTGGGGTGAGCAAATTGGGAAATACAGATTGCAAAGAGTTTGGGACTGGCCCGTGGCTGGCCAAGAGCAGCGTGGCCATGGCCCTGCCCTGCTCCTCCAGCCTGGAGCCCCAGGGCAGAACCTCTGAACCCCCAAAGGCTTTTCTTGTCCTGACACAGTTGTACCTCCCCGAAGAGCACAAATTGTCTTCTCCTGGTCCCCACACAGGGTGGGGGGCAAAGAGGGACATTGGCTTTTCAGCTCCACTGCCACTGCAGCTCCCCCAGCACACCCAATCCCTGCTCCAGGCAGGAATCCCAAATCCCCCAAATGTCTGTCCCAGCCCCACGCTTCCAAATCTGTACAGAACCAGGAAAAAATTTCCTTTTTCTCCTCCATTTTCTTCCAACTCCCACAGAGGCTGGATCATCTGTATCCTTCTGTGAGTTAAGCTAAACCCTGCTGAAAAAGGAAGAGGCTGAACTTTCAGCTGCTCTGAACTGGCAGAAGTTCAGCAGAGCACAGCAGCAGAGTGGCCAAGAGAACCCTGACTCCTGACACCTTTCCCAACCTGAGTTTTGTCCCAAAAGCCTCCAAAAAAAACCCTCCCCAGCCACATCCAGGCTTTTCAGTGCACGTCCTGCAGCATGCAGAGGGCAGCCCAAGGAAAGCTGAGTCCTCTCTTTTTCACCCAGTGCTTGGTGAGCAGCAGTGGGAGCACAAGGTCACCCAGATGTGGGCTGGCTGGGAGCTCCCTCGAGCCCTGCAGTGACACACTGAGTCCCCAGGCCACTGCTGATGTGACAGCACGGGGTCAGCTCTGCTGCTGCTGCCGGCAAAGATGTGGATCCCAGCTCTGCAGCGACCACCACGCTCTGCAATGGGCAGCTGGGAGGAACCAAAGAGGTTGAAGAGTGTCAGGAAATAAAAGCAGGATGTTAAGGAAGGCTCGGCACTGAGAGCTGCTCCCTGTCCCCGGAGCCAGAGACTTCCCTGGGCTCAGCAACGATCAGAGCCACTGGAGATGCTCCCCTGCCCACCCCAGCACAGCCCTTTGCTGTCCCTGCTGGGCTCCAGGAGGGGATTTGTGCCCTTTCCCAGCTCCCAGGGAGCCAGCAGGGCTGTCTCGTGCCTGACACTGCTGTTCTGCAATTAGAGACTGACAGGCTGATTAGCACCCGGGGCTACGCTGACATCACAAAAAGGAACGCCAGAAATGTCCTTTTCAACAGGCTCAGTTCTGATACCTTCTGTTGCTGAGGGGGGAAGAAACAAAAAAAAAAAAAAAAAAAAAAAAAAAAGGAAGAAGGAGAAAAAAAAGGAGGCTCTGTTTCAGTCCCTGCCATGGTTTTTTTCCCCAGGAGGATTTCTCATCAGGCTGTCCTCACTTTGGAGGTTACAAGCAGCTTCCTTTTGTGGCACTCTTGGATTCACTAAGGCAGTATCAGGCTGAGGCCAGTGATTATAGATTACATAATTAAGGGCAGCAAGTCTTGATTTAAAGGACCAGTAAATAACAGGAATGAGAAGAAATGCTCATTAGATTTCTCAAATATATGTATTTCTCCCTTCATGGAAATTTAATACTCTTGGAAGCTGCCATAGTGGCAGCCCTTGGGAATCTTTTTGGTAGAAATATCTAAGTACCTACACAAACCAAAGCAATCTGTTTAAACAGCAAATTCAAATCCATCCAGGCTGATGAGCAAGGCTCTGTCCTGTGCCAAACATGTCCCTGGTGGGGATGAGGGACCTTCAAAGATCTCCTCCCAGGGAACAGGAGCCACACCACCTCCCTCCTGTGAGGAAAAACTGGGCTGAAAAGGAGGAAAGTGCTGCTGGAGAGAGAGCCTGAACTGCTGCAGTGATTGCTGCTTCATTTTGTTTTGATGTGGTTCAAGAGCTGTGTGAAAAGGCATAAAATTGAGCAATTCCAGGTGTGCTGAGGCACAGACCTGTTTTCCATCTCCACACCATCCATACAGGGCACTGGGGGAGGCTGTGCTGAGTCCTGCCCGTGGCAGCAGAGCCCAGCGAGCTGGGCACAGGTGACACAGGTGACACAGGTGACACAGGTGACACAGGATCCATCTGGGGGGCAGCACAGAGGGACCAGGAGCAGAGGGGAAGGCAGGGCTGCACCTCTGAGCAGTGTAAATCCAGCCCTGCCCACGCTGGGGCTGCCAAGGCTTTGTGGAATTCTCTTTTAATCCTGCTCCGTGTGTGTGTGTGGAGCTATTCCCACCAAGCTTCGAGGGCTGGAGCTGCCTCAGAGGGCAGGGACAGGGAAGGGAGAGCAGCAAAGGCTGCCAGGATGGGCTCTGGCTGCCCCCTTTGAAGGCAGCTCTGTGTGCTGGCTCGCTTTGCTGCCTTTAAATGTCACTGGTTTGATCTGAGGGTGTTGCACTCCACGATGCTGAGAGGGGGGAATGGAGCTGCAACATCAGGGAACACTTCAGAACTGCAAGGCACTGAAAGGGGCTCGGTGGGAGGTGGTGGAAGCCCCGAATTCTGAGCCATTACCAGCTCAAAGGACAAAAGTGGGGTGGGCAGCACCTCTCTGGGTCTGTTTATACACTGGGAATTGAGGTTACAAAATAAAGGAGTGACTCACACGTGGCAACAGCCCAAGCCAGGCTCCTCAGTCAAACCCACACGGCCACAAATTACACAGGAACTCATCTCAGTGGCTGCGATTATTCCTGATTTCCAGCAGTCAGTGAGATCACACTCTTCCCTCAAGATTCTGCTCAGTCATTACTCCTCTAAAGATGCCAAAGCTGCCAATAATTCCCAAGTCTTCAGGCCTGGCTGTCCCTTCCCTGGTCCCACTGGCAATTTAAACTGATCCTGCTTGCAAGATTTCTTGGGGAAAACCTCTGGCTTTTGGTTAATTCGAGGATTTCTGCAGTTTTCAAATAATAACTCTGAAATTCACCACGCATGGGATAATTTTTTTATCCCATGGAGGGATAAAAATGGTTCCTAAAACATGGGGTTCAATAAAACCCCTGTGCTTATTTTCCTATTTGTTTTAGGATTTGTTTTAGCATTCCCAACACCACCTCTCCCTGCAAGAAAACATGCACACAATTGATACATGAGAACATTTCAAATATTCCCTCACTCAGTATTTTTTTGTTCGGTTGGGAATTTTTCCTTCTTCCTTAAAAAAAAAAAAAAAAAAATCTTTTTCCGCCATCTCCTCACAAAATATGGGTAAATTTAGAAATGAAAACTTCAGAGCAGAGAATCAGCATCATCAGTCTCGAGATGCTGAGGGAAAACAGACATTTCTCCAAATGAAATATTTCCACGTGCTGAACCATTCAGCCACTGAAATCATTCACTAAGTGCCAACGCAGTGGGAATTTGGGATTAGCTCTACCTTGTGCCCTGCCTGGATTTTGGGTTGGAAAAAGACTGAACTGGTCATTTTTTTATGCCTGGTTCCTGTTCTCTTGTGGTCAGTGCTGGTTTTGTGCTGTTTTTGTGCTGTTTTTTGTGCTCTGCAGCCACTGGCATGGACAGAACAGGTAGAGGAAGGGGTGGTTAGAGCAGGAGCAGGGCCAGGAGAGCTGGGAATTCCAGCTGTGGAATTCCAGCTGTGGAATTCCAGCTGTGGAATGCTCTCTGCTCAGGGAACTTCACACAGACTAGACAGGCCTCAAAAAACTCTCACCAAAAGAGTCTTACACTAAAAGTCAACACAAAACCCTCACATTAAATCAATTTTTTAGAAAAAAGCTCCTAATAATAAACCACAAAATCAAACAACCCCACCTCAAAATGTATTCTCAAATATCAACAAAAACAACTTAAAAACCCATCATACAAATCCCAACTACTAAAGTTCCAAAAAACAGTTATACAAAAGTAAAACAAAGTGTATCTAAGTAATTCACTTCTTCCATAAACTGGCTAACTCAAGCAATAAAAACACAATGCAATAATAAAATAGCACATCCCCATCTACTTCAAAACTGAACTTTTACAAATATCAATAATAAATATGAACATCTAATTAATACCTTGGCTAATCCACAGCCAACTCTGCCTCAAATAATAAAAGCATACAACAAAATAATAACTATATATATATATATATAAATAATACAACATGTAACAATGCACCCAGAGTGCAGCACTGCCTGTCCAACCAGAAATTACTGCCTGAAATCATGAAGAAGAAAGAGGATGAGCACTGAAAAGAGACACAAACCCCTCCATCCTGTACCATAGCTATTACTGTATTATAAAACCCTCAAATTTAAAACTCCTCACCATGTGAAATCACACACTTCTATTTCACTACACACCCGTGATTTTAACTCCATCACTCAAATTTGGGAGCTTTCTCCAAAGCCTCAAGTCAAAAGCAGTGTTCTTTTGGGGTCAGTGCCAGAAAGCACAAAAAAAAAGCTCAAAAATCCCCAATTTCTGGGATCTGACACGACAGCACAGCAGTGACAGCAAACACCAACTGGGAGCTGGAGTCTTCTCCTCAAACCAGAAATGGATTGGAGAGGCTGGGGACACACACCAGGAGGTCCCTCCTGCACCCCAAAAACTGCTCAGGAGTCACAGCTCGGAGCCCTGATGCTCCAGGTGCTGGGGCCATTCCTGCAGGCCCCCAGGGGGATTTGGGGTCTGCAGTGCCTGAGGAACACCTGCACACATCTCAGCACATCCAGGCACTTCCTGAAGATCCAAGCTTTTCATTTCTCCCACTCTCTTCCTGCATTACACTGTGGCTCACTGCTGGGTATTTTGGGTTTCTGTGCATCCTCCTGCCTGTTCCATGGACAGCTGTGGAGTGGGGGCTGGAGCTGATGATTCAGAATTGCTTCAGAGGAAAGAATCAAGCAGTAAATTCCTCTGCTGGGTCCAGCCCTCATCCTCTCCTTTCTCATCAAAGCTCTGTGACTCTTCTCGATCCAAAATCCAGAATAAACAGGGCAAGGAGGGAGTTTTCCTTTGACACCATCAGATTTCCGAGTGAACCAACAGCAGGCTTTGCCATGTTATGAGAAGCTAAAGGATGTTGCTGCAATAATGTGCTCAAAATCCGAAATAGCTCAAAAAAAAGCCTGGAAGAATAATTTGGCAAGTTCCTGAAGATAGGATGGAGATAAAGAATGGGTACTGCTAAGCAGGAATGAATTATCAAGGATAGGGCTAAATAAAAATGAATTATCAACTGAGCTAATGGAAGAGAAAAAGCAACTGCAATTCCACAGATCCTGCGTGGAGGTCACCTTGGCTTCCCTCTCACACATGAATATTCACTGGCTTGGAATGGATCTGTCCTAATTTAAGATTTATTTCCAGCGAGGATCTCAGAGCTCCTCACAAATGACCCCCATTAGCTCATCCCATGGGCTGAGCATGGAGCTGATGGTCCTGTGCCTCCTGCAGAGCAGTTTCCTCATTCTGGAAATGAGTCTGGGTGGCAGTGAGAGATGCTCCCGAGCAGTAAAACAATCAGACACATCATTTGTGCTCTCTGCTCTCCCAGCCAGCCACAATCCCAGCTCTGATTGCTGCATTTATGTGTTTTATTGTGTGTTTTATCACCAGATCCAGGGTTAAACCCAACCTCCATCAAGGCACTGAAACTAATTCTGCCAAGGAGGACACAGGTGATGCACCTGTATTTGTCTCCCTCTCCTCCCAGCCTTCACAGATCTTTGCCCGAAATAAAATAATTAAAGGATTAACACCTCTTTCCCGTACACAGTATGATCTCAATGACTGGAATGTGGAGTTATTTCAGACTTCACAAGTGAGGAAGCAGAGAGGCTGCTCCATCACTGATTATCTCCTCGCTGAACACATGGGCTGATGACAACAGCGAGAGGATTTACAAAAACGTTTGTCCTCAATCTGCTGCAAAAACCCTATTTACGGATTACTTCCATACAATGATTTTAAAAAAATCAGGGACAAAAAGAAAGGGAGAACATAATTTTAGTATGGCTTTTCTTCCAACCACATGGCACAAATGTAGAGACTGAAGGCCTGCTGGTGAGGAATCCTTCTGCTGACTCTGCCTTCCCTGTGCCTCTCAGCTCCTTAATTACACCATCACTACACACAGGGCTGCTTCAGAAATATCTTTAAGTGGGATGTCATTTATAAAATGCAAATAGCATCTCTAACTCCACTTTAACAGTTTTCCAGTCATAAAGCAATCACCAGAAGGATTTTCTTCGTTTTCTTAACCTCTTCAATTCCCAGGGCTTTTTTTCCTAAATCTTTCCTTTTTTCCTCCCCAGTGACAAAGCACAGAGGCAGAATGCACACAGAGTTTTCCAAGTCTCACCTACCACCAGCACTGCAGTTGATGCCTCCAGGAGCTGGAGCAGAGGCTACACACAGAGTTTAGGGGAATAAAATGGGTATTTATTGAGAGGACTACAAAAGCCACACCCCAGCAGTATGAGAGCTACAGTTGTGACCCCTGCCTGGATGGCTCCAAGATGGAAGCAAAGGAGGGGGTTGGTCACAAAATCTTACACTTTTATAGGTTTTGGTTCATTTGCATGAACCCACCCTCAACGTTTCCATATTGTTTGTGCTTAGGGCCTGAAGTCTGGAGAAGCTGTCCTTGAGTTCTTAACTGGAATAGGACTGTTCTGTCTTCATCACCCCAGCACATCAGAAAAGCACATCCAAGGAGAACAGGAAAACTTCAAACTAAAGGCATCACAATCACAAAAGTCCCTCCAGGTTGCTCGTGATGAAATTGGAACCAGACCCTGGGTTTTCTTTGGGGCACCATTAACATTTAAGCACCACCCCGAAGTCACGATTGCGCCCGCTCCACCCCACGCTTTACCCCAAACTGTGGAAAACAAACTACAGGCTCTTAAATAATATAAGAACAGCCTGGAATTTGCCCTTTCCAGGCTGCCAGGCCAGGTTTACTGTACCTCCCAGTCCAGGACAGAGGCCTGCCACTGAGCTATCTTGTCGATGTTCTCCAGCCTCCTCTTGCGCTCGTTGATCTGGAGGGTGACGTTCCTCATGACGGCGAGGGCAGCAGCCACGTACCTGTAGTCACTGGGCACAGAGGGAAAGGCCATCAAAAACAGCAGGACATGCCCAGGAGGCTGTCACAACCTCAGGGGACACGGGAAGGGGTGAGCCCTCGGTGCTGTGATGGGATTTTTCCATCGGGATTGTCACCACGGAGAAGCTCGATGGAAACTGGAATTGGGAGTCTGGTGACACCTGGACAGCCTCAAGGTGCTCAGCTGAAGAGCGTTCTAAAGGCAGGCTGAACACTTTTACAGCCTCTGTCTTTGAGATTTTTCTGGTTTTAGAATGGACATTTAGTAAAGGGTTCATTTAGACAAAGACCAGAGCACCCTCTGAGCCACTTCCAGAGCAGTGACCCCATGGAATTCACTCCCACTGCAGATTTCAGGTGAACAAATCAAGCAACTTTTTTTTTTAACCTGCATGGCCCTGTGAGTGCAGTAACACAGAGTGAGAACAGGCTCCTGCCAGGGCCACTGAGGATGATGATCAGTCTTTTCAAAAAGTGATGCTGAAATCAATGCCATTGATTCCTGCCCTGTGCCTGCTTTTCCATTCCAAGGAGCTGTAATGTTCATTTCCACTGGGAGGACAGGCAAGGCCAGCTGCCACAACACCACCACAATGTATTATTAACTTAAGGGCTGCTATTGATTGCTGACTAATGAGAAAAACTGCCATCTTGGGCAGCTGCAGGGGGAATGGCTTTATTGATTATTGCTAAGGATTGTGCTGGTGACAGCTAAAAGAGGGTTGAATGCTGGGAATTAGATCCCCTCTCCATGTGTTCCCAACAGGATAAATACTAAGAAACAAACACACTGTGATATACAAAAAAATATTATTTGCTCTTTTGGCATCCTCGCTCGGATGAAATCTTGAGCTGAGTTTTCGTTTTTTCTTAAATTTTCATCAGAATTCGAGGCGTGGTTTAAAATAATCCCACAAATTCCAGGACAGCAGGACTGAGCCTTCAGCAAAATAAAGGAAAATAGAGGATGGGCTGCCTGATGTATCCATCACAGAGAGCTCTGGGTGGGAAGGGACCTTAAAGCCCATCCAGTGCCACCCCTGCCATGGGCAGGGACACCTCCCACTGTCCCAGGGTGCTCCAAGTCCCATCCAACCCAGCCCTGGGCACTTCCAGGGATGGAAGGGATTGTTCTACACAAAGAACTTGTTGTGCCTCCCTTTGTGTGAGCATGTGTGTGAAGGGAGCCTTGGTTGTGTAAGGCAGGGAAGGAGCTGAGCCAGGGCACATCAGGGTGGCCTGGAGAACATCCAGGAGTTCTTTTAGGGAAACAGGGAGGTCCCTGTGGCCAGGAGGGCTGTGGAGAGGTGCAGGGTCCCCAGGCAGTCACTAATGATCCTCCAGCAGTGATGCTCGTGCTCAGAGGGGAGGACACTCCTGCATTCCCAACTCCAGCTCCCTCCTGCTCTGGGAATGCTCAGGATTCCAGCAAGCTGCACTTAACCCTTCCTACATTTAATTCATATTAAGCTGGAGTAGATCTTTAAGAGGTGAACAGATGTGGCTCTGTGAAAAATTCCAATTCTGCAGGCTGCAGACAGGCAGCAGTTGGAGGGAGGCAGGCTCTGAGCTCACCCCCATCCTTCTCCAGCAGAGTGGGATGGTGCCAGCCGTTTATCTTGGGAATGCTAATTCCCTAATTCCAGGGAGAAAACCCCAGCAATGTTTTCCTGTCACGCTGTAATGAAGAGAAGACTCAGGACTGAACTTTTTGGGCTCCCAGCCCACGTCTGTGGCAGAGCTGGCAAAAACTTAGAAGAAAAAAAACAACAGAAGCAAAGCATTTGGCCATGAGGCAACAATAGGATCCCATTAACCATGAGATGAAGGTAAATAAATGGTTTGTCAATTCTATTGGGGCTGCAGTGGCCACTTCCCAGGGCTCCCTCAGAATCCAAGTCTAGATCCTTGCCAAGCATCACATGCTAGCTCTGGGGAGCGTGGTCTGCATTCTGGTTTCAGCATTGTCCTGACCTGCTGCAGGGAAAACCCACAGCTCTGCAGGAGTGCTGGTAGTGAAAAGGAAGGAAAAAAAGCAAAGAGGATCATGCTCCCCTGTCAGATGAAGCTCACATTCCTGCTTTCCCTGGGAATCCTGTGCTTTTCCATGCTTTGCCACTCCAGGGCTGGGATATGGCACTGGCTCCGTGCAGCCACAGGTTTCCTCCCCGTGCTGTGACAGCTTCAGGGATTGCTCCTCCTAATGCAAGGGGAGCAAACCTCACCCTGCCTTCCTTCCCAGAGCATGGAGCAGCAGGAGAAAAGGAGTGTCCATGGCAATCCAGGGACACAGAGCTCCCAGGCTGAGTCACCCAACTGCTGCTGAAGCACAGCAGAGCTGCCAAGGCTCCTCAGAACACAGCTCTGTGTGCTTATTTAACAACATGGTGAGTCTAAAACATCCCAGAGGGAGCAGGAAAATCGTGCTCCCAAAATAACCCAACCCTGGTGTTATCACACTGCCCACATCCCCTTTGCCATGGCTCCCAAATAACACACGAAGGGTCATTTTAAACACCCTCCTGGTGGGAAGCCACATCTGAGCTCCCAGGCTGTGCTGTGAGTCCTCATGTGGCTGCTGAGGGGAAAACCCACAACCTGTGGGATCCCAGAGCTGCCTTCTGACACCCTGAGGTTCCCAGAGTCCATCCCAAGTTGATTTGGTTTTTGGAAAAGCAGGAATTGGATCTGAAGCCAAAGGCTCGTCCAAACTGGTGATTTTGGGCATTTGGCTACCACGAATTACTCAATGCATGTCTGTTCACATCACACTTCTGCTCTTCTAGAGCTGGGCTTGGGAAAAACAAGCTGTCAAACACTTGCAGAAGTTTCTGAAACATCCCTGGTCTTTTCTGTTCTCACTTGCTTTTAAATAGGTTTTGGAAAAAGAAAGAAAATTGGCAGGGCAGGAGCAAATCTGCTCTTACAGGGCCTGATTTTTCTTTCACCTTATTTTCACAGCAGTAAATCCCAAGTGGTATCACAAGCAGTGCTCCTGATTCACACTGTCAGGCAGCCAGGCTGATTGTCCTCAGCAGCAGCAAAAGAGATCCTGGAAATTTTGGGAAGCAATCAAACTGCCAGTGCTCCTCTGAACCTAAACCCCGTGGCAAAACCAGAGACAGGACTGGGCTGAGAAGTTGAGCAGGTCTGGAACTGTCCCCAAACCAGGCTCCAGGTGCAGATCCTGGCCCTGTGCTCACTGTGTGCCCAGGATCTTCCTGGGAGCAGGGAAAGAGCCTCTCAGACCACTGAATGCTAATTAGGTAATTTTTCCAGTGTAACTGGTAGCATCAGAAAGTACATCCAAGGGTAATTAGTTCACATGTCTGATTAGAACAGAGCTGAGTGTGTCTCCATCGAGAATTGCTGCTTTGAGAAGACTGAACTGTCTGCTGACCCTTTGTCCTGCTCCCGTTTATCCAGGATGTCACAGGGACAAACAAGAGCTGGACAGAAAATCCCAATCCCTGTGGAGAAGGAGAGTGGGCAGAAAATCTCAACCCCTGTGTGGAAAGAAGCACTGGACAGAAAATCCCAACCCCTTTATGGGAAGGAGCAGTGGACAGAAAATGCCAACCCTTTCATGGGAAGAAGCACTGGACAGAAAATCCCAATCCCTGTAGAGAAGGAGCAAAGGGCAGAAAATCTCAACCCCTGTGTGGAATGAAGCACTGGAGAGAAAACTCCAACCCTTGGGTGGAAAGGAGCACTGGACAGAAAATCCCAACCCCTTTATGGGAAGGAGCAGTGGATAGAAAATGCCAACCCTTTCATGGGAAGACGCACTGGACAGAAAACCTCAATCCCTTTGTGGGAGGGAGCACTGGACAGAAAAACCCAACCCCTTTATTGGAAGGAGCAGTGGACAGAAAGCCCCAAGCCCTGCCTTGGACAGAAAACTCCAATCCCTACTGGAAAGGGGCAATGGACAGAAAATCCCAATCCCTGTATGGGAAAGAGCCCTGGACAGAAAATCCCAACCCTTGAGTGCGAAGGAGCAGTGAACAGAAAGCCCCAAGCCCTGCCCTAGAAAGAAAGCCCCAGTCCCTACTGGAAAGGAGCACTGGACAGAAAATCCCAACCCTTGAGTGGGAAGGAGCAGTGAACAGAAAGCCCCAAGCCCTGCCTTAGAAAGAAAGCCCCAGTCCCTACTGGAAAGGAGCACTGGACAGAAAATCCCAACCTTTGAGTGCGAAGGAGTGGTGAACAGAAACCCCAAGCCCAGTCCTGGACAGAAAACCCCAATCCCTGTATGGGAAGGAGCCCTGGATAGAAAACCCCAATCCCTGTATGGGAAGGAGCCCTGGATAGAAAATCCCAATCCCTGTATGGGAAGGAGCCCTGGACCCCAAGCCTGCTGAGGTACCTGTGCTCCTGGGCCGTGTACTTGAGCAGCTCTGCCAGCTGCAGGGGGTACTTGCAGATCTTCTGCACGGGGGTCAGCAGGAAGCCGTCGATGGCGATGTCGATCATCTGCTGCAGCAGGCGGCACGCCTCGAAGAAGTGCTGGTACCTGCTGTCCTTCATCAGCTTGGAGAGCTCCATGCACGCGTCCAGGTGGTTGTTACAGTACTCAGAATAGATCCAGAAGCCGTCTTGCTGTGAAGGTACAAGGAGGAGGACAGTGTCCTAGGTTACAATGTCAAGATGTGCCCAAAAGTGTGGATTCTGTCACCAGCTGGGGCAGTGATCCTGATCTCTGTGGAGATATCTGCTGTTAATGGGCCAGGTGT